CTAAGTCTCTCTTCTACAATATCCGGACCCAATAAACTTCAACCTTTTTTCAAAATAGACCTCATACATAAGGCCAAAACGTTACACGTTCTCCCATGTTCTCCCATTAACAATGAAAGAACTGGGTTACTATAAAGGTTTGATGAGGGCTACTATGAGGGGTAGGTTTCTCTTGTTGTCTTCCGTTCCTTAAAGGTTCCAGGCGTTGCCAGCGACCTTGAGACAGCAGTCTTCTTGAATTGGAGGCTCCTAGGTTCTAGAGTCTGCAGTTTAGCGATGGGGTTGGGGTGTAGGCTTTAGGGTTCAAGCTTCAGGGTTTAGGGTTCAGGGCTGTGTAGGCACGCAGGATACCGTAGGAACTCGAAACGAAGGAAGAGTTGAACGAGTCTCAGCAAAGAGTCGCTTCCACCTTCTCATCCCCCGAAGTTGCCGAAGTCCTAACCCCAATCTCCCTTTATAAGCCTTGAAACTTCTTCCAACGTAAAAACTACCAAGACCACTACAAAACCCTGCGGGCGACCTAAAACCGAACCCCTAAACCCTAAACCCCACAGGTTCTCTGGCAGAACTTCCCCGCACCTGAAAGCATCGGTCTCAGGCAGGGGCCAATCCTGGCTTAGGGTTTAGGGTTTGAGGGTTGAGGGTTTAGGGTTTAGGGTTTTAGGGGTTTAGGGTTTTTACGTTGGGTTGGGTTTTAAACAGGCTCTGAACCGAATCAAAGAATCAGGGGTTTGGGGTTTCGAGTTCAGCGTTGTAGGGCCTGCTGATCATTTGTTTAAGGTCTTCTCGGTTATAATATGTAGGGGCCGGTGGATATAGTTGTTTTAGGTGAGCTTGAGGGTTTAAGGGTTAGGGTTTAGGCTTTGGGTCTTTGGGACTGGACAAGAGCTTCGAGAACACACAGTTTTGAACCTATGCCCGCGTATCTCCATCATTCTCCACCTACCTACCTTGTTCCAATGAGCTAGATGCCTGGCTATCAACACTATCTAGAGGCACCGATGTAGACGTGATGATGAAAGATTGTTGTCATGCTCAGACAGAGTGTTGCTGCTGGAGGCATCATCTCCTCACATCTACTTTACCATGTCATCATCTCTTGCCATCTACTCTATCACATCATGCCATGCCAGTACTTGGTGCATGTGCGTATGCATGACCTAGATATGTATAATGCACATATGACTGTAGCTATAAGTATATATGTAGATGTTTGTACATGTGGGTTACCCTGCGCCATCGCATTCCGAAACCCCCAACTCGGAACCCTAAGCCCTGCATCGCTCGGGGATTTCTTGATCAGCTTTAAATTTTGGACGATCTTCCGCTTTTCAGAATAGCTTTAAAAGAGGGCTTTTTTATAAGAACCCTCTTTTCGGAATAGCTTGAAAATGGGGGTTTGGGGTTTACGGGTTTAGGGTTTACTGGGGTTCACATGGGGCGGTCTCCCCGTCTCCCAACTACGCGCCCCGCCTCGCTGTTGTCGTCTTCCTCAGCGTGAGCACGATTAGCCATTCTCATGAGCACAGCTATTGTCGTTGACCTTTGAAAGTGACATTATGACTTTCAACTAGTCTCTGTCTGAGTCTTGCATTCTGATAACTGTGACTTGTTGCAGTTTTCATTAGAAGCATCCCCCTGATCACCAATGATACAGCCTCACTACACAATCCTAAAGGGCCCGTACATACACTCACCGGAATCCTGATTTGAACCAGACCTTTATCTGATTTTACTTTGCTCGTGGTAGAGGACTCTGCGCCTGTAGATGGGGGTGGGTTCAGTAGTGTTGGGGGGCTCGGATAGGTCATGCCACTCTGGCCCAATTGTGGTAGAGTCTTGGTAGGAGGGTTTCTAACTGGAACAACTTCCGTAACTCTCAACACATCCGACATCCCAGGCATTCAATCGCCAGGGACAAAACCTTGAAACAAC